CAGTAAACCGTTTAAAGAAAGAAACGTTATAATCATTTGTGCTTACTTATCTGCTACCCATTGAATTCTTTTGTGATCTTTTTTTTGGTGGGCGTCAATAATTAAATTAATTATTAATTTAAAAAAATTAACAATTAACGCAGAAGCGTCCTTGAAAAGTAGGCGGGATCGGGATTTCCAGGCTAAAAAGGGCGGGATGGTGGGATTAACAGGAAAAAATGGGCGGGAAAGCGGGATCTGAGAACCCTATTGTGGACCCTCTACAAAAGGCAGTTCAAAAGAGAGAACGGTATACAAAATCATGGCAGAAGGACGAGTAGCGAAAGCCTGTATACCTGGCTCAAGTAGAGAGAGGAACTGTGAGAGTAAAGAGCTTCTAACAAAAACATAACGCACCGTGCCCCACACAACTAAGAATTGCTGAAATTCATGTTTTAATATTTCATATTTAAAAATATATACACCTGATGTTGGTGCTAGTTTTTTGTTAATCTTACTTACTTTGAGTGTTTCGTTTCCAATTCTTAGCGGGTATTCTCCATCCACCAACTTCTGGTTTGCCATTTTCTTGAACTCGTTACACGAACGAGGATCTGAAAAAAAAAGTTTTAAGATGATGAAGGCGAGCTTATTTTGTTGTCCGGGTTTCTTAGTGTTCGCAGTTTGATGCATTTGGTGATAAGACGAACAATACTGATAGACAAACGTCAAAACTTGATACTGATAGTTACAGCATCCAATAGCAGGTCCGTGCACATCGGCTATTCTAGCTGCCTTATGGTTTAACTTCGGTATCATGTTCTGTGTGTATGTGTTTGCGTATATGACTTTGTGTATATTTTCAATTTCAAATTTAAGAAAACAGTTTTGGGACTCTGGTAAATGCCAACCGTCCTCATCTTCAATGTTAGGTTTGCCTTTAGAAAATAACTTCTACAAATCACATCACATTCTACAACGTTACTCTAACAATGACTGCTGACTGTTCTAGAATATAAGACAATGAAAACGTTCCTAGCAGAACTGGAGAACAGGATTACTCTGGTGTAACTCTTTTTTAATTAAATTAATATCCGTAGGTACCTTTGTGTGCCTTAGTGTCAGCAATTTGGATTGCACATTTTTCTCCAGTCCAAGGAATCGGGCACGAACATGTAAATGTTTGCTTCACTTCGTCCATCTCACAAGAGCCACCATTGAGACAGCCGGTTAGGAGGCATCCCTGAAATGAACAGAAATAAACGAAACTATAAAGCAAGCTACATAGATTTAAATATTTTTGATAATGACTTCAACGGTGGCGCTCATATTTTATCACGTGGTCAGTGACCACTGGGAATATAAGATTAAGTTACACAAAAACATGACAAAACACACACAAAAACACTAAAACACGAGGGCTAGGTCTTCCCTTAACGTTTTAAATGTTTAAATTGTGAAGTACGGCGTTTGAACCGGGTATTAGACATCAGTTGGCGCTAACCAGATAGCAGGTCATTAGAATTATTTAGTTAAATTGATGCAAAAACAGAATTGAAGTGTGAATCCCACTGAAATATATGAAACGTGCTTGATTATTTATGGAATAATGAAGTCAAAACTTAAAATAGGAACTGTCCAACTTTGCTATTTAGTTTACCAAGATAGAGCTCGTATTTTACCACATGCAGTCAGTGACCACTGGGAATATAGGATTAGATTACACAAAAATTGAAACACAAGAACCAGGTCCTCCCTGAATATTTAAACACCTTTTAGCAATTGGCAAGTACAGTAGTTTTGTATTATGATCTCAAAGTTTCGTTTTATCCAAGTATATGTACAGCTGTTTTTTGTTTTATGCAAAATATTTTTAAAATTTAACTTCACCACACTCGATACACATGCAGAAACCCCAATTTGGGCAAAACATTTCGGATGATAGAAAGCTTTACTCATGCCACAGATTTACACACGTTTCTTTCTGGATCAGATGTAGATGGATAAATGCAACTAGTAAAAGTAATCCATTACCTTAAGAAGCTTAGAGAAAGTAACTCCTTGTTCATCACGAAAGTTGGCATTTTAAATAAAATATTTCTAATAAAATAATACATGGTTGCTTGTAGATATGGAATTTCTCTTCTCGTCAGGTCAAGTTTACATCTCTGTCGTTCGCTGCGCTGTGCACAGTGTGAGAGAGCTATCGAGTTGAACACTAAGAGAAGCGCGCCAATAAGAGTATTATTCTCTCTATATATATATATATCATTCATACGGTTTGGTACCTGTTCTCCTATTGAGATAATGACATTTTATGTTCTTAATTTAAAAAGCAGCTTATTTGAATATCAGAATGTATACATGTTTCAGGACATTTTGACTTGAATTTCGAAAATCCTTTCTCGAGTTGGTGTTTTCGTTCACCGCACTCGATACACAGAAGCTTTAAGCATACCTCATAATACTCATACTCGATTCTATGCACCTGGATCAGAAGTATCTAGCTGAACATCAACTATTAGAAACATTGTATTACCTTAAGGAGCTTAGAGAAAATAACTCCTTGTTCATCATGAAAGTGGGCATTTCCATCGATAGCTTTGTGCTTGTTAAGCTCACACGTTCCTTTGCCATTCTTGGATACTGTCTTGAAATTAGTGGAAGTACACCAACTGTTCCACAAACACGAGTTCTCACACGACAACAAACTTGGAGATTCAAACCGTTTGACAACGTGACCTTTTAGTCGCTTATTTCCTCGTGTCGTGAAGTATGCCGCACGAGAATTCGTGATGTTCTTTTCGGCAGCAAATATAACGACAGTCGCTATTCCTTGCAACAAAATAATCAAGAATACCTTTTTGACGTCCATTACTTAACAGAGCTTTGTATGGAATGCAGGGTGTGCATGTAACCAAATACATAGCTACTTTGGAGTTTTCAAGGTGGGGCATTTTGATCAAGCTGACGAAATAAGACGGTGTGATTGGTTGATCTCTGTCGAAGTAATATCCAGAACTGGTCGATCAGTCGTTCGCTTGACATAAATTTAATTATGCCTCACTCAGTGTTTAGCTAAGACATGCCTCAAAATGTAAACTTTGCTACCTGAGGTTTACATTTGACAATTAGCTGAGTGCGACTCAACCGTGTACGAAAAATGTTATTTTAATTTGTTCTCCAAAAAAAAAAATCAAGGAATTTCTGGTATAAATTTGCTTCAAATTGCATGGCTTTTGTCAATTAAAGCCAAAGCTGCCGTTATCTGATCTGGATAAATGCAGATTATGTCGATTACAAAGCGCATGTCAGAATAGACGTGGGATAAATTAACAGTAACTATGGTCAGAGGGTAACCTCAAGAATCTGTTAAAGTTTTTTAACAGCAGCTTCCTTTAGGCCATTATCTAAAGCAGTCCTTATAGTGATCAGTATCTGAGGCACACAATCAGTTTCTCGAGTAAAACAAACACAGTGCTAGAGTAACATAATGTAAAAGTACCATAGAGCAAGAATTGTTCTTGTTTCAAAAAGCAGGTATTTTCATGTATTTCTAACAAATTTTAAAGCTCACAAGTGGTCTGCGCAAATAAATGGATTAATGAATAAGGCTTTTAGACAATTGAAGTAGAAAATTCTAGAATTTTTTTTCAGGTAGTGTCAAACTGTCATCTGGAGCTGCAGTAATTACGTTTTTTTTTTTACCTCTCATATTGGATATAAATTGTATCGACATTTCTGGTTATTTCACACCTTTTTTTTTTTTCTCTTATACTCCTTTTAATGTGAACGTTGCAATCCCTATGTATTTTAAAAGATGGTAGCTGATCAAAAGATTTTTTTTCTATAGCACTAAAACTAATCGTTTCATAGTCCGTGTGCTGTGTAAGATGGTGAGTACATTAACATATTTTTCAAAAGAACAAAAAGGAAGAAATTTCACTAACACAATGACAATAACTTTATCTTGATGTAGCCCAACTGCAACAACAAACTGCTCCCACTCGTTCTACTCCAAGTACAGGAATGAATATCACAGCAAGCTTTCAACTGATTACTCGTCGGTTGAGCGTTGTACTTGTCGAGTTTCACTTCGCTGAGATGACCGGAGATCGCCATTTGGCCAACGAGCGTTACTACACCCCATGTAAGTGTTGTTTAAGCATTTTTACAAAACTAAAGTTTCTCATCATAAACAGAGACAGCTCAGGTGGTATTTTCTGTCGTTTTACTTCTAAAGTATAATTTCTGTCTTCGTAACAAATATAATATATTTATCGAAGCATTCGCTAGGTTGAGAATTTGTTTATTTTGTTACGTGATTAAGCTTTACCGTTTTGTCGGAATTTAGAAAAAACTTGTTAGTTTAGTACTGTTTTAGCATTTCTATTGTTAGGTTGCTAACAATGGCCTCCAGGCAACTACGTTTACCGCAGTCAAATAGCTCGTTTCTTTTTCGTTTGCCTGAGTTACAGGGAACGTTTAATTTGGGTCAAGTTTGTCAAAATTACGAGGCAAAAATTTGAAATTCAGCTTAGCGTGCATCTGCTCTCTGACAAAGCATGCTGTTCGAGAACTAATCAAAGCCGGCGATCTACCGGATGCGTTTGACAGGAAACCAAGAAGAAGAATATCTATTTGCTCTGTTTTGTATCTTGTTTTCAAACTTGCTTCCTGAGGTTTTCGTATATGGCATAAAAATTGTCAATAACGCATGTCAATACAAATAAAAATTTTCATAAAACGCTTTAATTAAGTTTTCTAACTGTAAACTTTAAACCAAACTATACTGAGATAAACAAAGGCAATGTGACCTAGGGACACCTTGTGCTTTGCGAGATTAATCAGTGTGGCGGTGAAAATGGAGAACTTTACAAAACGTCGCTAAACTTGGCTACCCAAAGTGGCATTTGTGTGAAGTGAACATTCATATGGAGTAACTGTCAGCTGTGAAGTTGTTGGGCCAACTTTGAACCTACAACTCATGGCCCCTATCCCCCAAGCCAGCAGCAAACACAACAAAGGATTTTTCATGCAGATGCCTCAGTTTGATCATCACAAATTGTGAGTTCGAACGAATGCCTTGAGTCTTGGCACAGGTAAAATGTCATCATCACCAGAAACTCTGTATCTCTTTTGAGATTTCCAGCGCTACAATGGATATTCCATTGCTCGACGAAAGATAGCTCCGAATCGCCAACATCTCTGTCCAATTTGTACAATGCTTTTATCTTTTTGCTAAGCAATTTACGTTGTTCCTTAAGAACTTGACAGTTTTCTTTGACAGTCCTCTTCTTAATGGGTTTTTGTACCATTTCTCTGGATTTTCTCCAGACCTCGTCTCCGGCCTCAAACTCCGATCCACTTCCAAAAAGAGATTTTAAATAAGAGAGTAAAAATTCAGTCATTTCGAATTCAGGAGAGTTTTCATCGATTTCAGAACTCACGTCACTGTATGTGTCCATAATGACTGCCATGAACATGTTCAGCAAAAAAAATTGCATCGCTATAACAAATGAAGAGAAAAACACTGGTCCAAGCATAGGCTCGGCATGACTCAGATCCATAAAGTACGCCTTTCCCAGTGTCATGGCCAATGTAGTTTCAGACGTCGATATAAAATCCGCAAACCCCTCAACCTTGCTTCCAAAGACAACGTAGCCGAAGATATTGAAGGCCAAAACCGCCACCAAAGCTTCCATCCCCAACGGCAGCAGACCCTTGGAAGCTCGTGAAATTGTGTGCCCGAGTACTGCAATGTGTCGATTAAAACTCAAAAGTCGGAGAAACTTCAACGTGGCGATGAAAACAATGGAACTTATAACGTAAGTGCTAATTTCGTCCCATTTTATTGCGTAGTGAAAACTTATAAAAACGAATGGATTTTCTTGAACTTTGTTGATGGTCCACTTTGTGTTCATAAGTCGAATGAAGAACAATCCGACAGCAGAGAAACATAACACAATCTGAGCAACATCAACAACATTCCACGAATTTTTGAAGAACTCCTTTCGTTTCTTTAAAATCTTTTTGCAAGTAACATAGAAAACTATAGCAACTGTCACAACGGCGACAAACTCGCAAAATGCTACCAAGGCAGTCCAGGCACCGACATGCTGATAGAGACGGAACGTATCAACCTTAGCATACGTCGAAGCACCACCGATTCCTGTCAACTCCACTAGGTAGGTCACACTGCTGAAAAGATTGGTCGGGGCGTTAAACACTGTTAGCTCGACAAACACTCCACGAGTGAACTTATCAATCCAGTTATAAGTCTGTAAATCGCGTATCACTCCCTTGGCTTGTTCCATGTAATATCCCAAGTCAGCTGTGTATCCCCCTCCACTATAAACCGTCTTGCTTCCCCAATAAGGCAGTCCGTTCAGTGTTAAAGCTGTCTGGTATCGCCAGGGAATCGGACATGCAGAGAAGGTCAGATCAGCTGTCTTCACCCAACCAGGTAAAAAGAAGTCTTTTTCCTCGTCGACAATGGAATAAGAACCATCACAACTCGAGTTGAAGTATTTGGCATATTTTCCTTTGCAGACTCCTTTAGCTAAGAAAAATTATCAAATTATCAGAAAGTTTCCTTTCATAATTGTCCCAATAAACAGTACCTATGTAATCTATTTAGAAGTCTCGAGTTATTCAAGCCTTCTTCTAACCTCCCAGACTGAGGGGAATCGGCAAATTCAAATATATTAACCTAGATTTTATCCTATTTTCATTTCGCCGTTTCTATCACAATCTGAGAACCTGAAGGAGACTGTTCCTTCCTTGGCTTGTGATTATACCGAGGTCAATCATGAACCATTTGTAAAGTACTCAAGAGGACGGATAAGACAACGTTCGAAGTCATTTTCAATTTTTGCCGCCTTGTTACATTATAGTAATTGAGTTCTGCACAACTGCACGAGTGAGAAAAGCTTGGTTTAATCTAAGAGGAACTGTGTGGTATTTCAGAAAAGATAACTGAAACCATTTGCACTTTAACATCAACTAAGAAAAAAAGGAGTTCTTATACTGGACGGCGAAATTCTTCTTCAAATAAGGATGGTGATTTGTAAGCTTACCTTTTTTGGTCCGGAGTTGCCTAAGGCGAGGCATACCAACAATGTACAAATATTTGTCATCAGTAAAGCCGTCGAATATGTCTTCCTCGCCATTATACCACTTTTTATCAAAAACAAATGGCAACAAATCACTCTCCACGAAAAACCAAAGACTCTTGACATCATTTGTCTAGAGAACGAGCAAGTACACAACATTAGACTCTCTCTCTCTCTCAATTGAATACATCATTTCTCCTCCTTACTCCCTTTTGTGTGTTACTTAGTTCCATACACCAACCCAAAAAAGAACATACTTAGCTGTAAGGTTCCCCCTTGGTGAACAACAAAATAGGAACATGTAAGTTGCACCTTATGTTGTTAGTCTTTTGTAAGTTACCTGTACCCTCTATCATTCATAAACTTTCTGCAAAACTTAAGAAACGGTGACTATTGTTAGGGTAAAATGTAACCTTACCTGTCTGCTAAACACATTTCTCAGATGGCTGCTCTGTGTGAACGCATCAGGGTCTCGGGCAGTATAACTTATCACTAACAGGGATGACAGAAATAACAGGTGGAAGATGTTTTCTTTCAAGATGGTAAAGGCTTTCATTTCCAACAACTTATATTTTCTGGCCTTTTCAACTAAAGCCTCGTCTGGGGGTTCAAACATGCTACATGGTGTTTTGATCGCTTCTTCCGGGTCAAATTCCATTTGTCGTCCAGGCTCTTTGCTGCTTGTTTTTCTGTCCAAGGAAGTTGAGCTTTCTTTGAAGTCGCTAGGCAGTTTCTTTATAATTGAAGAGATGATTAAGGCAGCGAGGAAAATCTTTAAGGGCTGCGTAATAAATGCGTCCTGGAAAAAGGAGATAAGCATAGACGAGAGCCAATTGTTGGAAATCTCCCTTCCCCACGCCATGCTGTAGAACAAAGTAAATGTTGCTGAAGTCATAATCACTACAAAGCACAGAAAATATGCGATGTAGATACAGCAGTGCGGTAAGCGTGGGCCAGATGCTTTTCCATTTTTCTTGTCAGGGACGTCGCTCACTGACCAGTCGTCACTGGCGCCGACTGCGTTTCTACTGCGTGAGCATGGCCGTGAGTATTTTGAACTGACCGTTGGCTTTGGTTTCAGATTTCGAAATATTTGTAAGACGATGATGTTTAAAGGAAGAGCGATCAAACTGCTCTGTACCCCAATAATGACTTGCCGGAGGCTGAGCGTCAGGGGTCCGACAGAAACAGTTGAATTATCTGGCGTGTTGCCAATGTTGTAAAACATGGCGTTTGTTATCATGGCGCTAAATAGAATTGACATACAACATGTCAGTCTTTGAACACGTGTAAACGTACTCTTAGAGGGTTTTGCCACAACTGAGATCCACAGGTGCCCATCAAATATGTCTTTCGATGTCTTCGTTCGAAACAAAATTCCAAAACTCGTTAGTTCCTTTGAGTCGCTTACTTGTATTACACGACTAACTGAGCCGTCTCCTTTCTCTAGGGCGAGCCAGCGGTCACATACAAAAATGTATTGTTCGCTAGCTTCAGTATTCCGAATGATGACGTAACTGAGATACCAAGATGAGTCAATGCCCGACAAGTCGTGCCATATCTTGAGGTACAGTAGTTTTCCCAGATTTTCTGGTAACAATAAGAGAAATTCGTTTGTAGATCCTCTTGTAAAAAGAACTTTCTTTTCATCTGTAAGAGCTATGGGACTACTTTGTCCTTCTTCGCCGACCAACATTATAAACACGTTGGCTGTAGTACCAGAACCTCGCCACGGACCTGTTTGGATTATGAGCTCATAGCTGTTCCGGGCGATATCACCACTTGTAATTATTGTAGGGATGCCCTAAAATCAGGAAGCGACAATTTAAATCCTTCTGATCAGCAAGATGAAACTGTAAAGTGATGTCAAAACCGCTCACTATATTGAGATATAACATTGTAGAGATGGAAATTGCGAATTCGGCCAATTTTCAGCCGCAGGATTTAACTGAAACACCCGGAAACATTATACAAAATGACAAGATCTGCCTCTGCAGTTGGGTCGTGTTCTATAGCAGATTCGCAAATTATTCAGGGAAGGTATTCAACAACTCCCGGGGTTTAACTCAAGAGAGAAACCGAGGCAGACTGTCACGGTCAAAGCAGTGAAGGCACTGGTAATGTGGACGGCACATCACACCCGCCGTAATTACGAGCTGTATACTGAAAAAAGCATTATTAGCACTATTGAAAGCGTAAATCATAATCATAGAAACCAATTTATCCTACAAGACGATCATCGACACGACGCAACTAGCCCGGCTTGGCGACACTCGGCATAACGATGAAACGATCCTTTACGACTTCTGGTCTTTATAAGCCATTTTCATTGCATTTTCATTTTATGATTGGACTGTATCTAGCTTACAATGGAAGCTTCGTGGGAACCCTTACCTCTAAAGAACCAGTGGTTTATACCGTACAATGCAGTTCCATTGTCCAGTTGAATTTCGTACGTGATTAAACTTTTATTTAAGCAGCAAATTAAACAAAATAAACTCAACTTACGATGGTCTCGTCTCGCTTGTCCATTCTTCTCAACCATATCACCAATAAAATATAGATGGCAAATGCTGTAACAATGGTTGCAAGAACAGCGATATTGTCAGATAAGTTCTGGAAGCCCTCGAACACTTTATCAAAGTCAATTGGATTGGGGGCGGTGACGAATCCTCCTCCAAAAGATGTCAAATGATTACAGAGGCAGTGGACCCGATCAACTCGTGTATGGTTTCCAGCCTATAAGTAAAGTCGGACTGTGTGCTGTTAATTAATATAGAACAACTATTGACTTAATTAAGTCTGTCCAGAATCGGTCCAGTCATTAAGAGTTTAGTGATACCCACGGAAATTAAAATACATACACAGCTTGAAGAAGAAGTCTAACAAGATAAAAAAAGTATTTAATAAAGTTTCTTTTCCCATTAAGGTGGCAATAAAATTTCATATCCCTTTGAATTATTGAACCGACAAACCTACAATCCTGGCCAAAACTCCTTTGGACACTTGACAAAATGCCAACTGGTGACGCATTATTTTGAATTGGGAAGTCATTTATCGATTTGCCGAACGCCCCTTCCCCCAAAATAATACAATGTTGGAATAGTGGGTCTACTTTGGATGAATCAACATCAATATTGTGTTGGGGGTCGGGAAAGGGAAGTGGACAGAAAGACCATACCGTTAATCCTCGAATTAGTGCTCCCCCTCCTCGAATAAGCGCCCCTCCTATCGGCCAAAATTTAAAATAAGCGCCCCCCACCTCGAATAAGCGCCCCCCTCCCCTCCCCCCCATTTTGTGGACGAGTAATGAGACAACAAAGGATGTATAGTTTTCGTCGTGTAGTATTAGATTTGNATTGTTTCAGTTTGTGAACTTGTTAAGTTTGGAAAAAAATTACAAGTACTAACGGCGCCGCGAGTTAAAGTTTAGGATCAGCTTTTTAGGTCGATAGACAGCTTATGTTGTTGTTTACGCGCAGATGATGTATTAAAAAAATTGTCATGTCAGGCGACGATTTGGGAAAAATTTAATAAGCGCCCCCCCTCCCCCCACCCCCTTCTCGATTAAGCGCCTCCCTCGAATAAGTGCCCCCGTCTTCTCCTAAATTTGAAATAAGCGCCCCGGACGCTAATTCGAGGATTTACTGTATTTGGGAAAAAGTGCAGTGTCCGAAGACTTTTGACCAGAATTATTTTAAACCCAGCAGTCAGATTAGGGGTCATTGCCATAAATATAATCCTGCATATGGGACGTTCTTTTGCGCTAAATTAACAATTTTGCATCCTATATAAATACAGGAATCAAGTAATTTCATAATCAAAATCTATAATTTTAGCCTAGTCTAATGACGTAGCTCACGATTGGTAGGCATCTGATCGATGAACTAGTGAACTAGCGTCTTACGTACCTTACATCCTTTAGATGTCCATGTCTCATTTTTCTCATCCCAAAACTTACATGGAGATGAAAAACTATTAACAGTGTAATTGATGTCTCTCTCAGGGTCATACTCGGGGATCTGTAGTTTGTATTCGTCCTGAGGCCCAGTTGCAGGTCGAGGTGGAGGATCCCTATACTCTATACAAGAACGTCTGACTCGTACGCCATCTGAACAAGACCTACGCTCACGTGACTGTGTACCGTTGATATGTTTTGAATCCCGATAGGCTACGATTCCCATGTAGTATTCACCAGCTACTGGTATCAAAGATGCGTCTATGAAGACAGTGTAAGGGTCATACTCGCAAATCTCATAACCGTTCTCAAGAGTTCTACAGGATGTAAAGTCTGGTACAACTGCAACGAAGTGATCACCTCCCACCTGAGGTCGTTCTCCATAACGCCAATGAATCTCAAACAATGCGTCGTTGTTATTCGATGTAATCTGAATGATCTTTGGTTCTCCGACATTCTCTATGTCAAATGTACGATAAACAATGCTTCCATTTTCCCCTTTCATAAACGCTGGTCTTGGTTTGGTCAGTAAGTCGACGTTGCGAGGTATCAATAAACTGATTTCATTTTGAAGGGAGGACACTTCTAAAACATTCTGTTTGTCATCTTTGAGTAGAACAGTCAGCACGTGCGAAGAAATGGTCATTGAAGTGTTATCCCATGTAAACGGATTGTCAGAGAAAACAAGCACCTGAAAATAAAATGAAAATATTGATTGTAATTCTGTTATAGACAGCTAAAACTAACAGCTTTTAATGACTGGTTGAAAGGTAGAAAGAGACAATGCATTCAATTTAGACGACATTTTTAATGGAGATAAGTTCATTGCTTTAATTTCTAATACCTGTAAATCCACATTTTTACCAGCCTTATTTCCAGCCAGCACTTCAGAAACGCTAGGAAAGTGGACAGACACCTGCCCATTCCCAACAGTGTGTTCTTCTTCAACGTCGGATCTTATCTTTTTTAGGACCATAGACATTTGTGGAACAGATATAACCAGAGGTTCATCTCCTACAACAGCCAGGGAACTTAAGATGTCAGTTACATTACTGAGCGTCGCCATGGCCTCCAAGGCAATCGACCTTGCCTGAAAAATAATTGTACAAACAACGCAAGAATTAAAATAGCATAGAAAACGTAGTTGTGTTCGTTTTTCAGCATTCCGGAAAGGTGTTGCATTTTCAGTTACTGGATAGTCATATTGCTGATGGCAGTTTGTAGCCTGATTAAAGCTCATCACTGCATGACACATATGGATGAGAAGCTATTCTATCGCAGGTCCCTCCTCGCATTTGTATAGTTTCCCCAAAGGTTTAACGGTACCTTTACACATTCTGTAATCTGAGGCGGTATGCGCTGAGGAGTCTTGCCAATACAAGAAAACGACACAACCGTTACGCCAATGCAACTCCCAATAAAAAGCATAAGGCTGTAGTTAGAATTTTAGTGGCCTTCCAAGCCTCATTCCTTGCCCAACAACTCCAGCCTTTTGCACGCTTGATAATACCCTGTAAGAAGGTTTAAGTTGTAGTCATCATATTCCTAAAACATTACCTTTTCCCTGGTAGTATTAAATGACAAGTGGCTATCATTGGTACGAGGCTCCAATCTGGCCGTGAAACTAGCCGCCATGATGACATTGACTATGCCCGTTTCTACTATGACTGCTGTGTCTTCGATATGACTTGCAAGAGTCTCCCTATCACGTGACTTTTTGTTCACTATAACTGCCATTTCTTGGAATTGCTTTAAGCTTATTTCCTGAAATGTTCAAAACGCTCTTACAGTGTAAACTTACGGTACAAATAAACAATTAAATCACTGAGGGTGACAAGGGTGACACGAAAACAATACCGGGTGATTGGAGGCTGGTTGGTCGAAATTAACACTAGGGTGAAGACATAATAAGACCCATTTGGAGTGGAGAGCTTTAGCCCAGGACCTCGCGATTTCAAGTCGAGGTCCTGATGACTCTGGCGGCATGCTGCTTCTTCGGCCTACAGGGGCGGCAAAGACTGAGTCCATTTATAAATATTTACACGAAAAGTAAATAATATATGTCAATATGGTAGGAAAACGGAAGGGAAAAACGGAACGAACAGGGTTGATGAGCTTCGGAAAAGATGACTGCGAAGAAGATCACTCTGTGAGCCCCAAAACATTGACACTGAAAATGAGGAGGCTGGTACAAATCGAGAATAAAATAAAAAGCTAACCCTTTATAGCTGGTAACTGACAACGACGAAGCATAATTTTCATCACCAAGCTTCGATGTAAGGTGTGAATGCTTTTCATTATATTATGTTTGGATACATGTAATTCCACGAGCAAGCAAGACAAACCATATTCTACACTATGATTGGCTACCCTAGCGGGTAAGATGAGGCTGTCTTGTCCGCTTAGGATCCTCGGATGTAATAAATTCGTAATTGTATAAGTTTGTACGCCCAGGAAGGCTGGATGTTGGCCTCGTACCTTTATTTTCTTGCGTGATTCACGAAATCCATATTTCTTTGTTTTGTTCTTGTGAGTAATGTTTTGCACACTTTCAGCTATGACCACTTTAAACATTTCAAAACAAGTACGGTGCGTTTTCTTTACCTGAATGTCTACAGTAACCTCTTCCTTAACAAGAGTTACTTGACTTAGGGCAGATCCTAACTGCTTGACATCCGATAGAGACGATACTGTTTTGTTTGTAAGAATAGTTCCAATCGCTGTTCTCATCTATGAAAGCCGAAAAAATGAATGTATAGAAATATGAATTGCATACATTGTAATAAAATGAAGAGGCCACAAAAAACAATCGGTGAAAGTTATGATTAAATCAATAATAAAAGGGTTTTTTTTTCTCGTCAGAAGAATATTCCAGAAGTAAAATAATATACTAGAAAATGACGACTGACGGATGGGTGGACGGACGGAGCAGGCGAGTGACTGACTGACTAACTGAGGGTGGACGGAGCGAGCGAGCGAGCGAGCGACTGACTGACTGACTGACTGAC